AGCCAGTTGCCCATCTTGTGTGTGTGTGTATGCAGGGGGGGGTTGCTGCTGGGACCGGGGAGGCAGCCGTGGGGAGCCACACACCTGCCTTTTCCCACATGAGGGGAGAAGAATCAGGGTGAACCCAGGTGGGCTGCAGAAAGCTCCTGCCCAAGGCTCAGAAGTTGTGGGGGCAGAGTCTCGTAACGCTTCATCGACAGGGATATGGAGCCCTGCTGGAGAATGGGGTTCACGATGCCCCGAACAAGCCGTAGATTGAAGGAGCCAAGCCCTGCCCTTGGGGCTCACAGACTAGAAAGGAGATAGATAAAAAAGCCGAGTGATCGGAAGACCAGGCAGGGGAAGAGAAGAGTGGCCTCAAAGGTTGTTAAAACAGCATTGATGGTAAAAGTCACTTGTGCTAAGTGCTTTCCATACATTGGCTCATTTAGTCATCGTAGCAACAAGGGAGGGAGGCCTCTACTTCTATCTTACAGGTAGAGGCGGAGCTTCAAAGAGGCTAAGTAACTGGGCCAAGGTCACACAGCTAACGGGACAGGGCTGGGATTTGATTCCAGCCCCACACTGGGAGCTGCAGGAAGGCAGGGATTATGTCTTTCTTGTCACTGTGTCCCCAGGGGGGAGCACAGGACCTGGTACACGGTCGGTGCTCATAGTACTTGTGGTTGAATGATAGGCTCCTAAGCTGGTGCTCTTGAGCTCTGTTCCAGAGAGTACTTAGAGGAGGGAGACAGCCTTCCACGGGGGAGTCTGGAAAGGTCCCAAGGAGGTGTATCCTTTGAGACAGGCTTTGAAAGATAGATGTGATTTCATCAGGTGGTGACAGAGGGTTGGGCTTTCCAGGGGGAGGTAGCCCACTGAGCAGAGGTGTGGAATCAGGACGGCTTGCTGGTGATTGGACATAGCAGGTGACCCAGGTTGACCAGGTCTTAGGATGTATGAAAAGGAACCATAAGAGAGAAACTTGAAAACCAGGATAGGAAGCTTCTATTCAACATTGTGGACAACACCGTGCTTTGGGAGATCGTCCTGGCAGCAGTGTGTCAGATGGGCTAGAGTTGGGGAGGCGGCAGGTGTCCTGGGGTGGAGAGCCCGGTGGGGGGGAACAGAGCACAGGTCCTTTGGTGGGGGCGTCATGGTGTGGGACTAGGGGCGTGCCGAGTCCTATCTCTGGGTATAAGTGTGTGTGTGTGTGTGTGAGTGTGTGTGTGAGAGAGAATGTGTGTGTGAGCGAGCGTACGTGGTGTGTGTGTGTGAGAGAGAGAATGTGTGTGAGTGTAAGCGAGTGTATGTGGTGCGTGTGAGTGGGTGTGTGTGAGTGGGTGTGACAGAGACCGTGTGTGAGTGTGAGTGAGTGTACGTGGTGCGTGTGTGAGTGGGTGTGTGTGAGAATGAGTGTGTGTGCGTGTGAGAGTGAATGTGTGTGTTTGTGGTGTGTGCGTGCGTGTGTGCGTGTGTGTAACCTGAGGAGTGGAGCAGCACTGGGGCTAGGCCTGGCTTTCTGGGGGTAAGATGTTTGGCCTCCTTTGGCCATGGCCTTGACAGAAAGGCAATAATCAAAGAACAGGGTTAGAGGTCTGAGGTTTCTCAGGCTCTGGCATCCCTGGGTCCCTTGGTCCCTTCCCACAGCCCTTCTTGTCCTCTGTTGCCCGATCTGGAGCGATAAGAGGGGGTTGCTTTGGAATTCTTCCTTCAGTCATGAGTCCTTGGTGGATGAAGGAGGCTTCAGTTAGGAGAGGACTGCAGCCACCGTTCAGTCACTCCCAGACCCTGGGCATCCACAGAGTTTGGGCCACGTCTCTGAGAACTTTTCTGGAATGCGGTGATGTCTGCTTGAATAAATAGGATACGATGGACCTGGAACTGTGGGGCCAGCCTCTCACCCTTGTACACTGGTCCTGACTGAGATGGGGTGGGCTGGAAACATGTCTCTGCGTGTCTGGGCCTGACAATGTGGGAGCAGGGCTCCTCGAAGGGACACTGAGCATGGGTACTCGGTAAGGCCAGAGCGAGTGCCCTGGCATCAGGCACCAGGATGCAGCCCTGGACTAAGGAAGCGGGGATCCCTGGGATGTGGGCTAGAGCCACATGGCTGACCGGGCAAGTCTGCAGGCTCCCTTGCTTTCACATACGTGGGTCCTTATTTCACCGGCCACCTGTAGCTTGCAAAGCCCTGGGGAGGGTGTGGGAGGGAGCTCCCTGGGGCACTCGCTTCAAAGCCGCCTCTCTTCCTTGTCTAATATCCACCAGTCTCTGTCGGGACCTCACCATGCCAAACCAGAGGTGAGACTCCCCTCCATCTGTTTCTAAAGAATAATGTCATTAAACAGAAATACAAACTAGGGGAAAAGATCTAATTGGGTTATATTGTTGGCTTGAGGGGGAAGGGGCTGCAGAGCAGATTCGGTGACTCTCTCACTCTTGTTTCCACCTCTGTCCCCTTGTACCCTAACACACACTTGGAGTGCATGGAGGACCCAGAGATGGGGACCCCTCTGGGGGCACACATGTTAGCTGCGGCTTGTAGCCCTGCAATATGGATGGGTGGGGGCTGTTCTGGGAGCAGGTGCCAGAAGTAAGGGATGCGTGAGAAGATCCCACCACTGATGTGGGCATGCAGGACACTGGTCAGGGGGCAAATCCCCGAGCACTCAGGGGCCTTGGGGGTTTTCAGGAATTTGCCACCTTGACCCGGGAGCTGAGCATGTGTCGGGAACAGCTTCTAGAAAGGGAGGAAGAGATATCAGAGCTGAAAGCAGAGCGGAATAACACAAGGGTAAGTGGGGTGACCTGGTGTGTGTGTGTTGGGGGGCGAAGCCCCTGACCAAGGGCGTGGCCAGGGCCCATCCCAGGCCCCATGCTGACCTCTTCTTGTCTTATGTTCTGGGGTCGGTGCTAGGTTTTTCCACCCGTAGATGGGGGTAGCCCTGGGAAGGTCGGGGTCCTAGGACAGAGGCCAGGGCCGCTGGCTTGGGGAAGGTATTCAGTCGGAGCCGTGGCAGTTTACCAGCATGAAGCATTTCAATATTTTAACAACGGTGCGCACGGCCCCACTCATGGCTCCTCGGCGGTCACGTGGGCCCTGCTTCCAGCCCCTGGGGCACGTACTCACAGCCCTCCCTCTTGCCCTGCCCCCCGCCCTGCCAGTTGCTTCTGGAACATCTGGAGTGCCTGGTGTCCCGCCACGAGCGGTCGCTGCGGATGACTGTGGTGAAGCGCCAGGCCCAGTCGCCTTCAGGGGTCTCCAGTGAGGTGGAGGTGCTGAAGGCCCTCAAGTCGCTGTTCGAGCACCACAAGGCCCTGGATGAGAAGGTAGCCGGCGGGGCCCGCCGCTTGGCCCACCCCACCATCCAGCTTCACCTCCGTGTGTCCCTCCTCGGCGATTTCTGCACCCCGTGTTGAGGGAAAACTGCCCTCTAGCTTCGCAACTGGCCCCTTCTCCCACCGGCCTAATTTCCAGGTCCTCCTGTTAGGTTCCCACTCAGAGATGTGCCTCCTGGCAGGCCCCTCTCTTTGCCTTATGCCTCAGTGCTGGTAGATCAAGCCAGGCTCCTTCAGCTTGAGTCCTGTGGGGTCCCTGTGTCTTCCTCCATCCCCCCCTTCCCTCTGGCAGGTGCGGGAGCGGCTCCGGGCGGCCCTGGAGCGAGTCACCACTTTGGAAGAGCAGCTCGCCGGGGCCCACCAGCAGGTAAGCTGCCTACCCACCCTCCACCTGCAGACTGCAGCTCCCGGTAGCCAAGGAGGGTTCACTGCTTTGCCCCACTCTGTTGTGCATTGGATTTCTTCCCCGGTCATGGCTGGAGACCGCTAGGCAACTCGAGGCTGGGAGGAGGCAGGGGACTCAGAAGGGTCTGGAATAAACAGGAAGTTCTCTTCTCTTTGACTCACTGCCCTGGGCGCTGTGCCCCACAGGTGTCTGCCCTGCAGCAGGGGGCCGGGGTTCGGGAGGGAGTGGCAGAAGAAGAGGGGACTGTGGAGCTGGGACCGAAGCGCCTGTGGAAGGTGGGTCTCGGGGACCTGCGTGGCAGGGGCAGGGTCGCCCCCAGACGGGACGCGAGGGCCCCACCCTGAATTCGTTCAGGCGAGCAAATGCTTGAATGAAATTTGGGGCTTTCTCCAATATTCCAATGTCTCTTTCCTTCTTTCCCCCACCCCATCTGCGAAGAAATCGGCAGATATTTTGTGTGTGTACCCCACATACTGCTAGGCACGTAATATGTCGTCCACTTGAAGGGTTAGGCGCCATCTACCTTGTGTGTCAGTGTCAGGCCAGATCCCTTTTCTCTCCCCGAGCCTTTGTTCCCTTAGTCACGCCCTTTCCTGGGTTACAAGATTCTGAGACAGCAGGTAAACTAGAACTACTGTTTTTCAAAAGAAACGCAGGGGAGCAAGGGTGTTTTGTTTGGTCCCCGTCTGGAGCGAGCTCCTGGGGCCCAGAGGAAGGACGGTGGCGCTGGAGGTGTGTGCGGACTTTGGAGGCGGAGCTGTGATCTGCTCTGGGTGTGCCGTCCCTGGGGTGGGCCAGGGGCGCGGGCTGCCCTGGGCCCCGATGACTGACTGATGGCTCACTGTCCCTGGAGGATGACACGGGCCGGGTAGAGGAGCTGCAGGAGCTCCTGGAGAAGCAGAACTTTGAATTGAGCCAGGCTCGGGAGCGACTGGTCACCCTGACGGCAACAGTGGCCGAGCTTGAGGAGGACCTGGGCACGGCCCGCCGGGACCTCATCAAGTCGGAGGAGCTGGGCAGCAAGCATCAGCGGGACCTCCGGGAGGTGAGCTAGGGCCCCGGCCTGCCCCCATCTGGTTGCATGCGGGCACTCAGCACTCCGGAGGGCAGCTGCTAGGATGCCCTAGGTCTGGAGGGAGGGCCAGGCTGGGGCTGGGGAGCTTAAGACTGAACACTGGGGTCCACTGTGCAGAGGAGTAGCAGGAGGGCTGGGTCAAGGTCAGAAACTGGCAGGGAGGCATGGGGAGGATACAGGCAGCCAGGCGTTGGTGGGGAGGTGCCGGCAGGATGGGGGCAGGGAGAAGCTGATGCCCTTCCCTCCCGTCCCCTCTTCTCCCACCCTAGGCTCTGGCTCAGAAGGAAGACATGGAGGAGAGAATCACAACACTAGAGAAGCGCTACCTGGCTGCACAGCGTGAGGCCACGTCCATCCATGACCTCAATGACAAACTGGAGAATGAGCTGGCCAATAAGGAGTCCCTGCACCGCCAGGTAACTCCTCCCGCTGGTGTGGGGGCAGGCACTGTACTTGACCCTGGCGGTCCTGATGATCGTGCTGGAACCTTCCCTTGGTGGCCCAGGAGCCCCGGGGGTCCTGCAGGTCACCTTGGGAAAGGGGAGGCCATGCATCGTGGGCAGCCAAGAACCAGGTTGTCCTTGGCTCGTCTGGCCTGTCACCTGCTCCCTCCTGAGGCAGGGCCAGGAGGTGGGGGAGGTTTGGGGGCTCCCTCTTGACTCTTGGCGGCCCCCCCCTCCACGGTGCCAGTGTGAGGAGAAGGCCCGGCACCTGCAGGAGCTACTGGAAGTGGCAGAGCAGAAGCTGCAGCAGACGATGCGCAAGGCCGAGACGCTGCCGGAGGTGGAGGCCGAGCTGGCTCAGAGGATTGCAGCCCTCACCAAGGCAAGTGGGCCCAGAGCCCCGGGATCTGCCTCTGTGTCTGCTTCCCGAGCTCTTACGGAGCCAGGCAGTGCGTGGAGAGAGTGGGAGGCACGCAGGGCTGGGAGCCAGGAAACTGCCTCTCACCGCATGACTCCGGGAAGCACCCTGTCTGTGTCTGTCTGTTGGAAGAGTAATCCCTGCCCTCATCACCCCTCAGCGAAGTGACGGTCTCCTGAGGAGGGCTGCAGAAGTCCATGGAGAAGTAGACGAGACTTTGCCGAAGCAAAGTGTTTTGATGATCATTTACACTATTGTGTTAATACTAGCTTTTGTTGGGGGCTGGAGTGGAAAAATTAGGACTTTCATCTCCGGAAAGATGAAATCCAGGAGGAGATAGGATCAAAGTGGGTGGGGGGTGGCAGTGGGAGTGCAGGCTGAGCATGCCTTTCTCCATCAAACTGAAGGGTTCTGGATCTAGGGACCAACTCTGGTTGCTTGAAGGCTGCAGCTTTAGGATTAATGAAAGGGAATAGATTTGTACCTGATGGATAGTTAACTTTATGGAGGAATAATTTCTAAGAGGTAGGCAGGCTGAGATCATTGTTGGAGCTGGAAGAGCTGGGTAAATGCACGCACCTAGACATGCGGTGGGCTAATCAAGAGCATTTAGGAGTGTTTGCAGTGGGTTGGATGCTTTCAGGGGGGCCTCACGTGGGGTCACCATAGCTACCCTCCCCCGACCCGTGGAGAGAAGGAAATCAGCAGTGGGTAAGCAGCAGGCCCCGGAGCCTCTGGAGGATAGAGGCTGGCCGCTTTGAGCATGTCATCATCTCTATGATGATAGGGTTAGACTTGGCGGTGTCAAAGTTCTTTCTCGCTCCTAGGGATGCAGTGCTGGGTTTAAGTGTGCTAGAGGATGCCACGTGTGGGATGCTGAGCCGTCAGCTTTCATATCTCCCCAAACTGACAGGAAGGGATGGGCTGAAGTGATTCAGATGTTCAAATGAGTCATAGTAGGGGGCTTTAAGGAGGGATTTCCTGACTGTGGGCTGTGTGCTAGTCTGGAATATCTTGCCAGCTGAGACATGGGGTTTCCATCTCTGGAGGCAAGCGAGTGGAAGGGAGCCCACTCTGCCTGGGTGGGTAATAACCATGGCTAGCATTTGCTGAGTGTTTATTGCGTCCTAAGTGTTTGCCATGGATTATCTCATGTAGTCCACACGATGGTCCAATGGGCATAGGGGCTGTTACTATCCATATTTTACAGTTGAGGAAACTCAGGCACATAGAGATCCAATAACCTGCCTGACGTCACACACAGGGGAAGAGAGGGAGCCGGGATTTGAACCCAGGCAGTCTGGCTTGCATTCATATTAAGTGCAGGTCCATCTACCTGGAGGCATAGAGGAGATTTATGGTAGCTCATGCTTTCAAGTGGAGATTTTTTCTGGAAGTGGGGAGTCCATTGGGCTGCCAGCTCCAGGCTGTTTTAAGGCAGGCCCTGAGCAGGAAGAACACTTGGCAGGGAGGAGAGAGTGCTTGGGAAGAAGGGCAGTGGTGGTGGCCGTTCTGCTCCAGGGTGAGAGGCCGAGGGCTGGGCTTCGTTGGTACTGAGGCCCTGAACCCCGAAGAGCCCCCTGGCACAGGGTGTGTGGGATGCGGGGCCTGAGCAGGAGGGCAGGGGATCTACAGGCCACACTGACCTGTGCCCACCTCCAGGCTGAAGAAAGGCACGGCAGCATTGAGGAGCACCTGCGGCAGCTGGAGGGGCAGCTGGAGGAGAAGAACCAGGAGCTGGCGAGGGTGAGAGCACCGCGCTGGGCTTTCAGGCCCCCTCCTTGTCCCCAGGGCAGCCTCCCAGGATGGCGTGTGGACAGGCCTGAGAAGAGTGGGAGCTGGGAGGGGCCTGGCCAGGGACAGAGCCATAGAGGGGCCGCAGGAGGTGGTCCGGGGAGCTGGAGAGAGGGGCTCCGGGAGGACGAGTAGGGGACAGGTGAGTGGGGTGCAGCCAGGCGGGAATGCGCGGCCCTGGGGTGACCTGGGACCAGGTGTGCCGGCTCTGCAGGTACGCCAGCGGGAGAAGATGAACGAGGACCACAACAAGCGGCTGTCAGACACCGTGGACCGGCTGCTCAGCGAGTCCAACGAGCGCCTGCAGCTGCACCTCAAGGAGCGAATGGCCGCCCTGGAGGAGAAGGTGCGCTGGGTCGCGGGCCTGGGTGGGCGGGGCTGCCAGGGTGGGCGGGGCGAGGGTGTGGGTGTAGCCGAGGGGAGGAGTTGGGATGCGAGAGGTTAGTCAGGGGCGGGGCGTGTCTGGGACGTAGACCTTGGTGGACGGACCTGGGGAGGCTGGAGAAGGGAGGAGCAGGAGGGGTGAGGAGGGGCGGGCTGGCCTGGAGAGTGGGGGCAGGGAGGGGAAGGCGCGGGCCGGCGCCGGAGCAGAGGAACCGGGGCGGGGTCCCTAGCTCCCAGCTCTTCTCCCCCAGAACACGTTGATCCAGGAGCTGGAGAGCTCCCAGCGGCAGATCGAGGAGCAGCACCATCACAAGGTACCCAGCTGCTGGCCAGCCCGCCGGCCTGGGAGGGCCGGGCTTGCGGTGAGGAAGGAACATGCCTGTGTTTCATGCAGCTGCTCTGACACCCAGCACCACGCTAGTCTGTGTACAGACGTGATTTCGCTGATCCTCGCTAGCGCCCGGCACGGTGGACGCATCGCCACCCACATGTAAAGAAGAAACGGAGGCCATAAGCATAGGGCATAGGGTGGGCAGCAGAGGCAGGGCCCAGGGCACGATTTGTTGGGGCCTCAGGCCAGGTGAAGCAGGAGACGTCCGGTGATTCTGAGGGGACTCGTCACTGGTCCTGCCTCAGCCCCGTCTGTGAGGTCTGGGTGGGCACCCTGCTCCCCTCAGCTGCCCAGCCTCCGTCGCCATGCATTTGTGTGGTGGTGAGGGCTCAGCAAGCCCTATTCCAGTAGCATCCTTACCAAGACAGACCCTCTCCTGGCCCTGCTTCTCTGCCTGCCCGCTGCCCACCCTTCTGCTCACTTTCCAGTTGGACCTCTTCTCTCGGTGTTGTCTGTAGGCCTGGCCGGGGGCCCCTGGCTTTGGACTTTGCAGTACATTCTTCTGCTTCTCCCCAACTCTGCTGTCCTCTTTGTCCCTCTCTCCTCTCTCCGCCCCTCCCTGGCCCCACCCCCACCCCGGGTCTGCCTGGCACAGGGCCGCCTGTCTGAAGAGATTGAGAAGCTGCGCCAAGAGGTGGACCAGCTGAAGGGTCGAGGGGGGCCGTTTGTGGATGGCGTCCACTCCAGGTACTGGAGCGCGGGAGGCTGGGCGTGCTGGGATGGGGTCCTGGATGGACCCTGAGGAAGGAGACTTCCTCCCACCAAAAGACCGCCCAGGACCTCAGGGTCCTCCTCCTATCCAGGGTGGGACACTGAGGCTCCCAGAACTTGGTCAAAGTCACCTAGCTCACTTGGGCAGCATAGAAGGAGCACCTGTCCTCTGAGGGATGCTGAGAGGCAAGTAAAGACGGGATGCTCCTTCCCCAGAGCCATGGGACACAGGTCGTGCTTCCTGATTCCTTGACAGAGGACATGCCCTTGAGAGGGGTCTGCTGAGTTACATGCTCACCTATTTCCCACAGGACTTGCTCACCTATGTCCCACAGGACTTGCTCATGGAGAGTGTCTGGTTCATTCTAGTTCCTCGGAGATACCATCTTTAGGGCTCTGGAGGATTGTTGCCTGAGAGTTAAGGACCGTGTAGGTTCAGGCAGCAGGCAGTGGGCAGAAAGGCAGCACGAGAGACTGACATGAGGCATCCAGAACTTCCTCACAGTTGGAAGTTGAGAGGCCACATCATGGTTGTGACCTCCCTTTTTCTGAAAACATTGTAAGAGATGGAGAGTGGCGCTTTTCACCTACTGCTGGAATTAGGTCCATGTTTTAGGGAACTTCTGGATTTTTCTCCACATTCTGTGAAGTAATTGACATTGAACGCAGACCTCAGTCCTGCCGCCACTTCTCTGCCCAGAGAGGCAGGGTGAAGATTGAGGATACTAGTGGGAAATGCCCCTCAAGGTTCATGGCTCCTGGCTGTTTTCTCTCCAAACCAAAGTCTCACAGAAGGGAGTCTTTGAGGTTCCCTTCAGTCATGCTCTTGCTATGTCAGGGCAATAGGGATCCATTTCCCTGAAGAGAGGTTACAGGAAATGTGTACATACACATTTGTATGGAGGGGTAGGGCTTGCATTAGGGGAAGGGACATTGAACCTGAAGAAGAGAAGCCTGTGGGTGTCTGGGGTGGTAGAGACTTAAGTACCATCTTCAAGTTCATCAGGAATTATCGTTTAGGACAGCATGGAGAGAAGCAGGGAACAGAGACAGGGAATAGTAGTTGGGATCCCTCTGATTTCTTCCTTTCTATAGGTTTCTCCAAAGAGAACCCCCCCACCCCCCAATGAATACGACTCATGACTCAAGAGTACACCAAGCTATTTCCCGCTGCTTGCTTTCCTTAATGGTTGAGAATTCTTGGCTTTGACCATAGAAAGACTGGACCCATCATGGAATTGGGACTGAGTTGGAGGAGAGAAGAGGGGGATAAGCAGAAACTCCCTTTTCCCTGCTCCATTTCCCTTATCCATTGTAGGCTTGCCCTGTCCCTCTGCCCTGGGCCCCCTCATGGTATCCAAACTGGGAAGCATCATAGGGAAGAAGTGTCACTAGGGGAGGCTTCCAGACATTCCAGAGCATCATTACTGGGATTCTAAAGTCTCAGGTTTGGAATAAACCCAGGGGGCATCTAAGTGGTTTTTCTAGCCCATGTCTCTGATAGAGTGTCAGGGCCTCCTGAAGCTTCCTGGGGGAAAGGGAGTCGGCCTGGGTTGAATTTTGGCCAGGAACTCAGTCCAGATTATGGGGAAATCCAAGGAAAGTTGCTGAGGAGAAGACGAAGAAACAAAGACCCTAGAGATTAAAAGGACCCTTAGAGACCCGCCCTTGCAAAGTCCCTCAGTGCCCGGAGCTCTCCAGCACCATTCTTGTCGGATGGCCCGAGAGCCGGGGTTGAATGCCTCTGATGGAGAGCTCAGCTCTTTAAAAGCCACCAGTTGCATCATAAACCAAATCTTACCATCCGAAGGTGCTTCTTACGTTAAATGGAAAGCTGCTTCCCTAGAACGTTCTCCCCTGGATCATTCTGATCCCTGGGGCACCAGAGAATAAATCGAATCTCTTGTTTACATGGCAGCCCTTAAACCATTTCCAGTAGCTTTCTGCCAGCTAAGACTTCTCTTCGCCAAGCCAAAGATCCCTTAACTCTTTGGACCTTGGGTGTGAGATGGGGCTCTCAGTGCTCAGGGCTGGTCTTTTCTCCCCGCCCCCTGCACCCCCCCTCAACCACTCAAGGTCGCACATGGGCAGCGCAGCGGATGTGCGGTTCTCCCTGAGCGCAGCCAGCCACGTGCCCTCAAGCCTGCACCGCCACTACTCAGCTCTGCGGGAGGAGTCTGCCAAGGTGAGGGGTGGAGGGGTGAGCGTGGAGGGGTCTCCCCGGGGAGTTTGGGGTCAGTTCGGCCGCGTGCCTGGCTCCAGTTTCACAGACGGCTGGTGTGCGGTGCAAATCCCACCCCCCCCACGCCCGTGTGGACAACAGCTGCAGCCCTGGGGTTGGGGCCATTGTTAGCTGCAACAGCTGTGCCCCCTCGCCTTGGCCTCCCGGTGGGCAAGTGGTGGGGCTGGCGGGCGGCCAGCCAGTCCCTGAGGCCCTACTGAAGCGTGTGCACGTGTGCCTGGGGGTGCAGGCGTGCGTTTCTGGCCGTCAGGGTGGGAGATGCAGGGGTGAGATGGAATTGGCCAGCTTTCTGGAACACAAGCTGTGGTTTATGGGGGAGATGAGGAAGGGATGGCAGGTTTAAGTGGCCCTGGGGAGATGACACCTGAAGTTTTCTGAGAAGCAGCTTTGCGTTCCTGCTGAGACTGCCTGGGGGGGCTGGGAGGGGGAGCAGGAAAGAACGGGGCAGAAAAGGACCAAGACCCACCTCATCTTCTATCTGGGGAAATGTGATTCCATCCTAGCGCCATAATTGTTAAGCATGCTCTGCCCTGAACCCAGGTCCTCTGCATGCTCTAAGGCACTGCAAGATATGGGTAGAGAAGGAGGGAACTCCTAGCCTGACGGGGGAGGATTCATCTCTGCCCTTAGGAAAGCCCTAGTCTGATGGGGTCACAGTCTGAAGGCATCTCTTTCTCCCCTCACCCTTTCCTCTTTCCATTGATAAGAACACAGCAGGTGCCCAGGAGCTAGAAAAGAGCCCTAATGGGAAGTTGGGGGTCTGGGTCCTAGAGGATGGGGTTAGAGCACCTCTCTATCCTTGGCCCCCCTGCTCTTCTGGCTCGCTTAGCCCACTTCTGTGCTCTTTCCTCTTCTGGGCCTTTATCCACTGAAGAGGTTTGTAGGGTGACTTCTGAGACCACCACTTCTCAGGGTTGGGTACAGGGTCCTGCGATGTGCTGAAACCCTGGGAGACGCAAGACAGACAGGACTGCTTGGCTTCTCTTGTGCCCTGGATCTAGTTACTCTTTGAGAGTTTGTATTCATGGAAAGGGATCGCCTTTGTATAGTGCCAGACACTGTGCTAAGTGCTTTCCATGCATGTCCTCACTCTGTTCTCACGATTACCTACAACGTAGGTAGGTACTATTACCGTCCCCGTTTTACAGATGAAGAAACTGAGGCCCAGAGAGGTTAAACAGTTTTACCTCCGTTGCACAGCTAATAATCAGGTTTCAAAGCAAGGCAGTCTCTTTCTGGAATCTGTTCCTAACCACTCTGCTACCTGGCTCCTTGAATTGGGGTAGTATTTCTTAGACTCTAAAGGGCAAATAAATCACCTGGAGGTGCCAGTGCTGCTGGGATAGGTGGGGAGGGGCCTCCTCCTCAGTGGTCTGGTGTATCTTATTCCTGCTCTTCTCCCCTCCTTTACTAAGGACTGGGAGCCCTCTCCACTGCCTGGGGTGCTGGCCCCCACAGCCGCTCCTGCCTTTGACAGTGACCCCGAGATCTCCGACATGGATGAGGATGAGCCAGGGGGTCTGGTGGGCTCCGTGGATGTTGTCTCCCCCAGCGGCCACTCGGATGCCCAGACCCTGGCCATGATGCTGCAGGAGCAGCTGGATGCCATCAATGAAGAGATCAGGTTCGGGCTGGGGCGGAGGGTCTGGGAGGCGCCTTGTAGGACAGGGGCCCCTTTAGGTTCGGGCACTACAGGACAAATTCTACGTGTATCTGCTTGTCTTTTCTAGCTGCACCTCTGAGTGCTCAGTCTAGGGACTCTGTGCGGGGCGGGCATCAGGCCCCATACCGGATGGAGAGGGGTGAGACCTCAGCCTGACTTTTCAGGCTTCATTTCCCCTCCCGGGGCTGGGGAGGCTGTGTTCCTGCAGCTCCTGCGGCTGAGCCTGGAGCCCCGCCGACCGAGACCATGTCAGGGAGAGAACTTTGTAGATGCTCCCGTCGGTCTGCCCCCGCATCTCTGGGGGAGGCAGCATTATTTCCATTGTTCAGACAAGGGAACCGAGACCAGAGAGTTTAAGGGATTTGCCCGAAGCCCCACAGTAAGTGGCGGGGCCAGGATTCACATTCAGGTCTACACTCTGTGTATTGCAGCATTCCTCCCATCCCTAATGAGGTGTCAAACAGAAACCAGTGGCAGGGAAAGAGATCAAGACCTGGACTTTACCCTGACTTTGTAGGAGGTTTGTGAATGTTTGTGACCAGCGTCAAGGAAAAATCTGAGCCAGAGGGCTCAGAGCTTATAGGGCTATATGGGACATCTGGTTCCATGGTTCCCACACTTTTGGATTTCACAGACCAGTTAGAAAGAAAACACACACACGCGAGAGAAGGGTAGTAACCTAGGGCTGCCAACTTTTATTCTGCAAAGGAACCCATGAAAAGTAGCTGCTGTCCCCTATCACAACCATTCTACAAAAGAAAGGGCATTTTAACACCCCTCACGTTTGAAAGACAGACTCTGCATAAAGACAAGTCCGGCTCCTAACGGACAGTTGGCATTGTCACATCAAAACACGCGGGTGTGTGCACGTGCGTGAGGCTGCCTACACACGCGCCCCCCCCCACACACAGGGTTATCATGGGTTTTCTCATTTTTCATGGAACAGGGAAAACTCCATCAGGGGTCAGCAGCGTCAGTTAAAGACCTGGGTTTGGGGCCGGCTGGCTTGGACATTGCATGGGTCTAGTGGGAAGCTGAGGCCAAAGAGTCTGACTCCAGGTGGCCCGCGTAGTCAGTGGTAGGTCAAGAATTCTGCCTTCCAGGATGGTTTGTATCCCACTGACTAAATGCCTCCTTTGTTGAGCTGGAGAGTTTTGTTACGTGAAGTCAGCTAACAAGACAGAGAGAGAAATGTTTCTGAGCTGCAGTGGAAAGATCGATCTGTGTCCGCGAGGCCTTGCGTGTCCCAGCAATGCCAGAAACAGCGCGGCGTTCCCCTGGGCATTGCCTGCTGCCTGGGCTCCCAGAGTGGGAAGTGCGGTGCTGGCCCCTGCCCCCTGCTGGGCCTCGCTGGGGCCAGCGTAACGTCTGGTTTTGCCCGCCTCCCAGGATGATCCAGGAAGAGAAGGAGTCCACGGAGCTGCGTGCCGAGGAGATCGAGACTCGAGTGACCAGCGGCAGCATGGAGGCCCTCAACCTGACCCAGCTGCGCAAACGCGGCTCCATGCCCACCTCTCTGACTGCCCTGTCCCTGGCTAGCGCGTCCCCTCCGCTCAGCGGCCGCTCCATGCCTAAGCTTACCTCCCGCAGTGCTGCCCAGGACCTGGACCGCATGGGGGTCATGACCCTGGTGAGAGCCTTGGGACAGTTGATGAACAACCCTAGTCAACTCTGGGCTCTGCTTTGGGGGCTGGCCGAGGGTTACTGCGAAGGCTTGGTAGGGCTCACTCCTTCTCAGCTGGGCCTGGCATCCTCTTCCCATGATGTGTGCAGACCCCAGCATGTCAGGCCGCCAACGTGTTCTTCTGGCGTGGGCCCGTCATGTCTTCCTCAACCCTCTCTCTTGGATAAGTGCAGAATGCTTAAGAAACTCCCCCCCTGCCCATACCTCTCCCTCTCTTCCAGAGGTGGCCCTGACTTATTTTTCCAGGCCAGCTTTTTTCTGCTGGGGTATTCTCTCTCGGCCTGTGTAAGGCACTGAATCCTATCTTCTCCTCCTAAGACCACCGGGCTCCACTTGGGGTGGACTTTTGGGCATCCGGAGGGTGATGCTGAGCTCACCCTTTACTCTCTCTTCCAGCCCAGTGACTTGAGAAAGCATAGGAGGAAACTGCTGGTGAGTGCTGCCCGATGACCCAGGTACTAATGGGTGAATTCTCCCAGGCCCTTCCCTTTTGGCTTCTCTCCCCTGGCTGGGCCCTTGAGTCTGAGTCTGGGCTCAGAGAGGGCCCCATTATTCCCACTACATTTCTCCAAGCTCCTCTGCCTCGACTGGGCTGGGTAGGCAGGCCCCAGATCTCTCCCTCTATCCCCTGACGGCTTCACTGTCTGTTCAGTCGCCAGTGTCTCGGGAAGAGAACCGAGAGGATAAAGCCACCATAAAATGTGAGACTTCTCCTCCTTCCTCACCCAGGACGCTGCGGCTAGAGAAGCTTGGCCATCCAGCCCTGAGCCAGGAAGAAGGCAAAAGGTAAGTGGCATGGCCCCACCTTGAGTCCCTCTACCCCCAAGGTCATCTCATCCCTCCCCCTGCCTCTGGAGGGACGGAGTCTCACCTGTCCAGGTGTCTAAACATCTTGCTTCTCTCTGAAACACTGTCAGGGAAGGACATTCCCATGTGTCCTTTGGTCATCTGCTCTGATCATAATCCGCCCCGCCCCGCCCCACCGCCCAACCTCTGCCACTTACCGTAAGTCCTTCCCGAGGTCTCACTTCCAGGTCTCCTGTTATAATGAAACCATGTTTCTTTTCATTCCACCCCCTTGTGGCCGTCCTGTAGTGCTCTGGAGGATCCGGGCAGCAACCCAAGCAGCAGCGACGGCAGCCAGGACTCCTTGCACAAGGGCGCCAAGCGCAAGGGCATCAAGTCGTCCATCGGCCGCCTGTTCGGGAAGAAGGAGAAGGGCCGGCTAATCCAGCTGAGCCGGGATGGACCCACGGGCCATGGTGTCTGTCCACGTCCTAGTGAATGGGTGCAAGCAGAGGGGCCAGGGCAGGAGGGAGTCCTGGGATCTGGCCTTCTCCGCCTGCCTCCCAGGGGCCCGTGGGTGGAAGCCACAAGTCAGGCAGATTTCAGCTCCGGAGAGGAGAGGCGAGGCGGGTGGTTTGGGTTAGAGCTGTTTCACAGGGCCACGGGCTGCCCCAGGAGCCGCTGGCTCCCACCACTAGAAGCGTCCGGCTGCAGGTGGGTGGCTATATTTGGAATGCTGTGGAAGGGATTCCTGTACGGAGCGAGAGGTTGGAGCTCTGAGGTTTCTTGCAGTTTGAAGGTTTTCTGACGTACCATGCTCAGGACCTTCAGGAGGAATCTCTGGCTTCTTTCTTGAGGAGAATCGGTTCTTGATTAAAACTTATTTCTAGTGCATCAGGTCTCCAGGACGCAACATGCCATAATGCCTTTTGATGGCTTCATAGATATTCGCGGAAATGCTTGGGCAGGAGTAGCATTACCACTTCTGTGCTAACAGAAAGTTCTTGTGCGTGCTTGGCACCTGCCAGGTACACAATGAATGTCAGCCGTCTTCCTCCGCCCTCCCCTATTCCTGCTTTCCTTTCCTTCCTCCCCTCCCTTCCTCCTCTTTGCCTCATCTACCAGTCATTTGTTCAACAGACATTTATTGAGTAACTACTGTATACAAGGCTCAGCGTTGGGTGTTGGAACAATAGGCCATTCCCTCAAGGAGCTCGGTGTCTCCTGGAAAGGGAAAAAAAAAAAAAATATATATATATATATATATATAAAGAGATGATTCCAGAACGGTGTAACGATAGCAGTGTGCTTCAGGTGCTTCTGGAACGCAGAACTCAGCCGTGGAGTGGTAGGGACACCAGCAGTGCCTTCCTCTGCTAGGCAACCGCTGGGCCGAAGCGGGAAGGCTGCGTAGGAGGTGGCCAAGCCAAGAAGAGTTGTGCGTGAGGGGACCGGGGGTCTGGGAGAGGCAGGTTCTGGGGCAGGAGCTCTGTACACAATCGAGTCTATTCAGAGCGGGGGAGAGAGAGGCTGGGAGGAGTGGAGGAGTGGCTGTGGACCCTAGGCTGGGCCCCGCTCAGAAGGGCCTTGAGAAGTTCTCCCAAGGCAGCGGGAGCATTGACAATTGCGTGCAGGGGGAGGGCCTGATAGATGAGAAGAAAGGAACCTTTGAACCCAAAGGCATAATTAGACCTCCCTGCACCTCAGAGAAGGTGTGGATCAGAAGCTAGCTAGCTGAGTGCGGAGGAAGTGGAGGAGGAAAGGCACCCCTCGTCTGGGTGGGGAATGAGGTACAGCACCCTGTCCCCAGCCCTCAGGAGCTGACACAGATGGGGCTGGGAGGGGGGCTGAGAAGGTCTGATCTGTGGAAGAGGTATTCTGTGGGAAGTCTTAGGATTTTCTACGCTCCCCGCACCCCGGCGGCGCCTAACCCTAAGACAGCATCTCACCTCGGCTTCTGGATCGCCCACACCTACGGCCAGCCGCGCTGTGTGGCGTGCCTGGAACTTGATGAATTCTAAGATGTGGCGCCGGCCATGAACTCCGTAGGGGTCTGGCGTCCTTTTCAGGAGATCCTTAATAGAAGAAGACCGAGCTAGGAATGTTCCCCCATGGGGTTCGTGCAAGTGTGCTCCCTGAAAAAGAGACCAAGGGGCACGTCTCTCAGTGTGCCCGTCTTCACACCCCCAGCCGGGTCAGGATAATCCTCTCTGAGCCCGGAGCCCGCTCACGTCTGGCTGTCCAGGTTTCCTTTGCACCTTGGTTTGGAGGAGAGCTATGTTCTGTCTAGGATTCTGCTGCTGAAGGGGTAGGACAGCCTCGGTCCATCTGGCTGGAAAATGCCTCCAGGGTTGAGGCTCCCCTGGGGAGACTCTCTGGGCTAGGGGACCTGTTTGATGCCACTGTGGGGCCACCTGGATGTAGGGACATCGAGCGGAGGCTCTAGGAATAATGGATGGCCCCATCAGGCCTCCTGGGTTGTTAAACATTGAGGAGCCTCCTGTGGGTCTGCTCCCCAATCCTGGCCCAGGCCAAGGGAGGAAAAGGAGAGGGCCTGGCTCACATGTCATCTCTTCCCTTCTAGTTCTGCTAACAGACTCCGAGCTTGGTCTGCAGGAGCCCATGGTGCCTGCCAAGCTGGGGACCCAGGCAGAGAAGGACCGGCGGCTGAAGAAGAAGTAAGAGCCACAGGCCAGGATGGCACCCAGCCCCTCACCCACTGTCCTTCCCTTGGCCTGCCATGGGACTGAGCATTTCTAGGTGCCATGGGACTGAGCTCAGGCAGCCAGAGCCGGATCCAGGCCCTTTCTGAACTGAGTTGGCCTGGTCCCCCTGGGTACAGCAGAGACTAGGAGGTGGTTTTTACTATGACCCAAGGGAGAAGGAGGCTGGGGGACCGTGGGAAGGTGACCCAGGACCCACATGTGGGTCTCTGGCAGAGCAGACTGAAATGTCTATGGGTCAGGCCATGTGCAAACAAAGTCAGAGCCCCTTGCCCTCTGGGAATGGAGAAGAGTCCTGCCCCATGTCTTGGCATCATACTGCTTCGGGCACAGAGCAGGGGTAGCAGTCCAGTGGTGGGGAGTTGGGCTATGGGAGTCCCGCTTCGCACAGCCCATGGCCCCAGGAGTAAGCATGGTTGGGAGAAAAGGAGACTAGTGAGTCTGTTCTTCCTCTTCCTGCAAGACACCAGCTGCTTGAAGACGCCCGCAGAAAAGGAATGCCCTTTGCCCAGTGGGATGGCCCTACTGTGGTCTCCTGGCTGGAGGTAAGCCTAGGCAAAGGGAGTCTACTCAGGGGACTGGTGGGAAGGATGTGCAGTGTGGGACGAGGACTCCTCGGGTAGGTAGAGGGGTGGTATCCCTAGAACTTTCCCAGCTTGTTTCTCCCCTGCCAAGTACACCTGTGGCATGCCTAGCATTTAGCCCCGCTCCCTTCCCCAGCAAATGCATGTACCAATTACTGTGGAGGGCAGAATCGATGCCACTTAGGGCTGATGCCTCACGGGTAGCTTGGTTTGGGTTAGGGGAACTAAGTATCACCGAGCCATAGGCTTTCGCAGGCAATTTGACTCCCTCTATAGGCTGTCCCCAGGAGCTGGTCACTCATGTGATGTTGGGAAAATCCCCTCACATTCTCGGACCTTAGATTTTCCATCTGTAAAATGGGCAAGAGAGGCATTTGGTGATTGTCATCTCTACATTTCTGAATTCTGCTCTGTGTTTGCTCTTTTGAGACCATGGATGAGGCCTGGCCCTTGCTCCCTGATCTTGTCAAGCTCTTGGCAGCGGGGCCCAGATCTTGGGGAAGGGGCTGAACTTACCCCCTGTGCCCGTATCTGCAGCTCTGGGTGGGGATGCCTGCCTGGTACGTGGCAGCCTGCCGGGCCAACGTCAAGAGCGGTGCCATCATGTCGGCCCTGTCGGACACGGAGATCCAGCGTGAGATCGGCATCAGCAACGCCCTGCACCGGCTCAAGCTCCGGCTGGCCATCCAGGAGATGGTGTCGCTGACCAGCCCCTCCGCCCCACCCACCTCCAGGACTGTGAGTGGCGTCTCCCTCACCCAGGACGTTTTTCGGAAGTCCTGGAATAGTATTTGCAAAGTTTCCCGTTGGTCTTTGGGAAGATGGTAACATTGATTCCTGCCCCTTCTGGTCCCTCAAAGGGCTCAACCTGGTCTCCAGGAGGGGCTGACCCTGATTCCAGGAGGATCCCAGCAGCCTCGTTCCCTGCCTTCACATACCACCAGTGGGCCCCATCTCCCTATACCCACTCTGCCAACAATTGCAGATCTCTGGGCAGAGTTTCCAAGGACAGGGCTTCCAGGGGTTCTGTGTTGTTGCTGGACTCAGGGAGGCAGAGAGGCCGGGCATTTGTGAATTCTGTCCTCGTCCTCCAACCTCTCTCTCCATCAGAGTGCAGACTAGTCCATGGAGCCTCAGGGTAAAATCATTCACTGCTGTCCGTCTCTTTGATTGGGATCAGCCCATTTTCCACGATCGGTGCCATTCATTCGTATTCATTCAGGAAATGTTTGTTGAGCATTTCTAGGTGCCAGGCACCGTGCTGCACAGTGCGGCTCCAGTGATATGGGGAGTTGCTCAGAGCCAGACAGTATGCGGGGCTCGGGGCTGGGCCTGTGGGAGGACTCAGGGGAAGGAATGTTTGTCCTTGTCCTTGGGGTTCCCAGCTTCAAGGGAATCTTGGGGACCCACATGCAGGACCTGCTAGGTTTCCTCTCTGCCTACAGTCTTCCGGGAATGTCTGGGTCACCCATGAAGAGATGGAAACTCTGGCAACACCCACTAAAACAGTGAGTCTGGCCCTGGGCCTTGGGCCTGGGTTGGGGCTGATGACCCACATGAGGACGAGGGGAAGGTGGTGGGAAGTCAGAGGGCGTTGCAGTCGGTCTAATATGAGATTGGTATCCCTGATGTGTGTTGGGTTCTGTTCTCAGGGTGGTGGGTTGGTGGGAGAGGAGTGGGATTGGGAACAGTTTGTGTGTGCTGGGGGATCCGTCTCAGGGGGTCCCGAGCTCACCCTAGGCCACTGGCGCGCTGCAGTGGAGAAGAGCTGGCCTTGGGGATGGGGAGTGCTTTGCCCTGCTCTGGGCAACAGAGTCCTTGCCCTTGTGCTTGATGCTTGGTGGGGGACCAGGGAATGGGAGAGCCTGGCCCTTGTGGGGCTTCCGGCCAAGCCTGCGAGGTGTGGGAGTGTGTTTTTGCCACACACACATTTGCTCCCCACTCAGCACAAACACAGACAGACGCACCAGCCTTGTGTTCTCTCTTGACCATCCCAACAAGCCCTCCTTAGTCACCCTTCCAGCCACTGGGGTGTCTGCTCCCTCTGCTTGATGGGGCCTGGGGTGGACGCTTCCAGGTTCCTTGACTCTGCCTGTTTCCCCTGACACGCTGCACTCGTTCCCGCTAGGACAGTGAGGAGGGCAGCTGGGCTCAGGTAAGACCCCCTTCTCTGTCCAGAACCACCTCTCAGGATTTCAGGGCAGTATTTTCCCAACAGGCTCTCTGCCCAACAGGACTCCCTGAGTCCCAGTCTATTTATGTCCCCTCTTTGCACGGAAAGCCATGGACAGGTTTTCTCCTCCCGCTGAGGCCCCCTCCCTCCTCATTCCCCTCTAGCTACTTGTTCTGGTTTCTCAGGATGGCCAATGGGGAGCCTTAGAGGGCTGTGTCCCCAGCACACCTGCTTCTTCCCCTCTCGTCCCAGGAATAATGAGACCGAGATGGGTACAAATCCTCTTCCTCACCGCATCCCGCAGGGGGCACCCCTGGTGAGCTGGGCAAAGACCTTTTACTCATTTAGTTAGTAGGCAAATATTTATTGAGCAGCTACGAGGTGTCAGGCCCTTCTAGGCTGTCTGGATACAGAAGTGGACTCTTATATTCTAGGGGAGAGACAGGCAAGAAACACACAAACACACCCACGACCACTATGTCATGTGGTTCTAAGGACAGTGGAGTAGCACTGTGGATACTTCAAGGGAAACCCAACCGAGTCCTGGACAGATTAGTCATAGTATATTTACACAGTGAAAACTTCAGCAGAGGAAATAGACGAAATTTAGAAATATTATGTCAAGTGCAAAATCGAAGCCCAAAAGATTCATAGAATTTTATACTAAAACTCAAAAATAAGCAAACTTAATAAATTTTTTTTTTGAGAGAAATACACATTGGTGATTGTAAAAACTGTAAAAACATTTTTTCCAGCAAGGGCATGATAGAATACTCAGCATAGTGGACACCTCTAGAGGGGCAGCAGGGGATGGGATGGGGAAGGCGAGCATGGGGGCGACAGCAGCCGTGGGATAGCGCGGCTGGTGTCCATCAATGTTAACTTCTTCTTTATGCTTAATAACGAACCTGTGCTACATTTATTTTTATATGTATAACGATTTCGTTTTAAAAGATAAAATCAGTGTTTCAATCTAAAAAAAAGGAAGTAGGGTAAGGAACGAGAGTGACGGAGGAGTGCTGTTCCTACAGTCTTTCTAAGGATAGGTGGACAGGAGCCCCTGTGTCGGCAGGAGGTGACAAGAGAGTGGGTGGAGGGGGGCCGCCAGGGGGCGGCTGGGGGTGCGCGAAGGCGGGGCAGCCGGGGGTGTGTGTAGGGTGCTGGAGAAAGCAGCAGAGGGCCTGGGGAATTCCTGGACTGGACAGCAGAGCTCAGAGTGCTGAGTGTTTCAGGTGCAGGCCTTCACCCGTGGCTTCTGACTTCTCTAGTCCATACGTAACTCTTGGATAGATGTGGGAGGCCACTTTGCGGTCCTCTGTAAAGGGGCCTGTCCCCTGGGCCCAGTGGGCTAGAGGCCGGCAGAGAACCAGGAAGGTAGGTTGGCCACACGACACCACAAATGCATTCCTGAGTCGACAGGAAGGACCTCGTATTATCTGCTGCCTGGATAGTTGCTTCTGTTCATTAGTGTAGATAATTGATCTGTGAGTGGAACCATATCATTCTGAGATCTTAAAAAGTGCCATTTAAAACCCCCACCTCCTACCACTCCCAGCTTCTTAGTGAAAATCAGCTGCCACGGCGGATGGAGGGATGTTTCTCTCCACGGGATATGCCGGCCGTGGCCGACGGGCACTGCCTTCCTTCCCAATAGCCGCTCTGCCTTGTCCCCCCAGACCCTGGCCTATGGGGACATGAACCACGAGTGGATTGGGAACGAATGGCTCCCCAGCCTGGGGCTCCCCCAGTACCGCAGCTACTTCATGGAGTGCCTGGTGGACGCCCGCATGCTGGACCACCTCACCAAGAAGGACCTGCGGGTCCACCTGAAGATGGTGGACAGCTTCCACCGGTGAGCAAGGCCAGAGCGTGCCGCGGGCCTCCCCCAGCCCTGGGGGTCTGTCTGCAGGGATCCAGGGGCCTCCAGCTCCTTGTGTGGCCCGTCTGGGCGCTAATGGGTCTCCCGCTTGCGAAAGCCAGATCCTTATCTCATCCTGCAATGTGAGGGAGGATTCGGTCCTCTCACCTCCAGCCCTTAAGACACAGAAAGTCATTCTTCCTTAGCTTCACATTCTTGGAGATTTCCCTCCTAGGTCTGCATTTCATTTCTTTGTCTTTGGGCTTGCTGAAGTTTCTCTGTTCACCCTGGGAAGCCTCAAACTGAAACCAGTGTCCCGTTTCGGGATCTAATTCCTTCTAAGTTGAGAGGAAAGGTCTTTCTGGGCCCTAGTCCTGCCTGCATCCCAGATCTGAGCCTCTCAGCTTTGAACCCACGCCCTTTGGTATACGGGATGCCATCCAAGTCTCTCCTCCCCTTTGCTGAAAAGGTCTTCTGTTCGCAAGTGTCTGCAGCAGAGGTCTCCACGACTGGCAGCCCGTGGGCAGAATTTGGCCCCACAATTGTGTTTTGTTTGGCTGACACGGTATTTTAAAGATTATGAATTTAGTTGCCAGCATTTAAACGCTAGGAAATTTTGCACAAAATTCTGGATGTCTGGCTTCTCTTAAAAAACTGGAAGCTCTGTTGACACATTCTAGCATGGAGACAGCCAGCTGGAGCTGGTGGTGGCCGCCCTCCTGCCACAGGTAGGCGCAGTCCCCAGATCCTGCTTCACTCACTGCGCTACCTGCTTGAGCACAGGGGGCACTTGCGCAGGGGAGCAAGGTGGGTGGTCATTCCAGGGGTTGACAGTCGCTAGGAAGGCTTTTTAACATCTAGCTTCAAATCACACAGGAACCTCGCTCTTTGAGCCAGGTTCTTTGTCTTTTACCTCTAATGCCCACGGCTGCCCTGCAGGAGAGGTATGACCCCACCTCGCGTATTCTGAGTGCCACTCCGCTGGAAAGTGGCACAGCTGGTGTTCAGACCGAGGAGAATGAGAGGATAATGCGACGAATGTTGGGGCTGGGAGCGTGTGGCTTTTCAAGGTTCTCTTGGGGCTCTGTGGACGTCTCTTGGTCTCTCTGACTCATCAACCACGGAAGGTTCAATTTGGAAGGGGTCTAGCTAGCTTCCCCGTTTTATGGGGGAGGAAACTGAGGCATGGGAAGGAGCATCAGGGATGGTAGCCAAGTCTAGCCCCCTTGCCACCACACCGCAGAGCCTGTGACGCTAGAACTCCCTACTGTGACCTCCCTCGGCACTCCCCCACCCCTTCCCAGGGCCAAAAGGGAATCTTTTGTCTCTGTCCCAGAGGCTGCCAGGCCTGGCTGCACCTGTCCCCTCCTCAGTGATTGATAGGGCTGGGGAGAGAAGGGCTACTCCCCTGCCGAGCTGGGATGTGCCTGGTCGGCCAGGGGATCAGTCAGCCTGGCCCCACCCAGCATTCTGGAGGTCCTCCTGGTGACCCTCTGCAAAGGCCCCAGGAGAGCTCAGCCTGCACACGTGGTTCCAGATTCAGCTCTAAGTCTGGAGTACTTCAGGGTTTCTAAAGCATTTCCCTGTTCCTTACCTCAACTACCTATATACCTGTTTTTATTCCCCTTAACATTTCATAAGCATGCTCTTATGTCTTTAAAAATTATCATAATTTTTATGGCAAAACATATTTATTTATTTATTTTTTAAAAAGATTTTATTTATTTATTTGAGAAAGAGAATGAGAGAGAGAGAGAGCTTGAGAGGGGGGAGGGTCAGAGGGAGAAGCAGACT